TGCTTGCTTTATGAACAATTATCAAAGCTGTGGTGAAATTTTCCTAACATTTTGCCACAGCTCAGCTGATTTCTGTGTGTGTGTGTGTGGCACAGAAACTTTTGCAAGCCAGCTGCCGAATACGCACACACACACACACATACAGCCAAGGGGCGTTAATGTGAATGGCCATTGCTCAAGTTTCCAGCGGTTTAGTTTATGAGTTTCAATTTGGGAAGCGAACGAAGCACTTTGGCCACGTTTCGGGTTTTTTGGGCCTGAGCCTGAGCCTGTGGCCGTGCCTGTGCTGTCATGCATTTATTGAGTCACTAATTTGGCTATTGTTCGCCCCAGGCCCCCAAACGGGGCAGGGAATGCGATTGATTTGAAGTGTTTGCAGAGCTGGGCAGGTGAAAGGATTGAAGCGATTCAAATGATTATGAACTTGAAATGGGAGTGTAAAGGGGAAATCAACGTAATCAAATTACATTCGAAAGGTTGAACTGAATGGGTGCCGAAAATAGAAGGGATTCAATTTAATGACAAAGATATTTATAGCACATATTTCAATGGAATTATTAGTAGAAATTATAGCTCAACTGGCTATAAAAAGACTAGATATGTATTTTTTTTTAATTTCAATATATAAATCACAATAAAAATGGCTTTTGATTATATTCATAATTAGATTAAATGAGCGCCGCAAATTGATATAATTGTGTACTATTTTATATAATAAATCAAAATCAGTTTAAGCAAAATATAAACATTTTTAATTACAATCAAATAAGTGCTTAAAGCACTTAGCAGCTTGCCATACAACTGCTGCTGTGTCTCGAAAAGACTCGAAAAGAGTTCAGCTGCTCTTAACCCTTGGCAGCCATTTAAGTTCAATCTTTGGCTAACCCTGCCACCAGGCACCAGCAGGAGTGGCAGCCAAACAAAGGTTACGTGTAGCCCTAACGATAGCCCGCATCACCTTGGGCCAGAGCCCCGACCCAACGCGGCAGCGAACCCAAACCCAAGACCAAGCCCAAGCCCGAGAGCAAACCCAAGCAAAGCCAGGCAAGTCGGCGACGCATTTGGCACGGCTAATTCAGCACAACATACGACGCATTACAGTTATAGTGGCAGGACAATCAGGACGAGCAGCTCGAGCTCGGGCGCTGCAGAGGATTTGCTACTTGAGAAATTGAATATTTCACATGTCTGTTTGAATTTTATACAGACACAGAGGAAGGCAACAACAACAGCACACAGCGGAAAAGGAAGTCTAACAGAGAAATAGAAGATAAAAAAATAAATAAAAGAAACGAAACGAAACGAAACGAAAAAAAATGTGCGAAAACCTAACCAGCAAACCAAATAGGAAAATTGAAAAATACAAAAAAGAAAATAAAATTGAGAAAGGAAAAAATAAATCGAGAGAAGCTGCTGCAGCAGCTAGAGAAACGTGAAACGGCTGGGCGCCTAATTTAATATTCCACAGAGCAGGAAATTTGTGGACAGAGGCGGAAGGCGGGCGGGCAGTAGACACAGAGAAAGAGAGAGAGAGAGAGAGAGAGAGAGGGAGAAGAGCGGTAGAAAGAACGAGCAGACAGGCAAACAGACAGTTCAGACACAACTGATTGTCGTTTATAAGAGAGAGAGAGAGAGAGCTTGAGCTGATGATCCATGTTGGAGCAGCTGTAATAGTTTTCTCTAAATGATAAATTTTGT